AGAAAATGTGTTCCTATTTTGTTGCCATCTACCATACACCATGTTTGTAATAAACTGGAAAAAAGAGGAAACATGTTATTTATTATTGAAATATTCGATGTCTTGTTTAATTTCGACGCAGGATGACCTCAATTATTATAAGAAGCTGTAAATACGCACATCTTTTGACATATCATTTGCATGGAGAGACAACGAAACAACTAAAACAAAGAAACAAAGCGGATGTTTCGCCCAACCATGGTCAGAAAATGTGTTCCTATTTTGTTGCCATCTACCATACACCATGTTTGTAATAAACTGAAAAAAAGAGGAAACATGTTATTTATTATTGAAATATTCGGTGTCCTGTTTAATTTCGACTCTTTTCTTGCGCAAAGAAAGAAACTCGAACTTAAGTTGGTAGTAAGCCTTCATTTCCGATTGCAGTGAACTGAAGTGGAGCTCTTAACGAAAATAAATAGTAGCTAAAGAAGCTGACGTAACGTTACCATTGCCATGAGCTACAAAGGTCTTTCAATTTTTTTTAAGTTGAGGTTACCAAGATCAAAAAATTCTGAATTGATTAGGGGCTTGCGGTGAAATTGATCAACTTTCTAAAGGCCACTTTCGATGAAAATGAGTTATTACTGGCTTAATTAAACGTCTTTTTTCTTTTTTTCTAGACCCCAACTGTAAATTGGTTGAAATGAGCGAATAAAATTGTTTTCCGAATGTATTGCCTGTCTCGCCTCGACAGTGTAAAATTAGCGGAAATAAATTGTCCCTTTTGAAACCTTCCATTAAGGATAAAGGGAACTATTAAGTCAAATGAATCCTGTTTAGGTATCATCCTGCGCGCATTAGTAAAAATAAACGTCAACCTATTTTACAGGCATTGTACATATATCATATTTCTTCATCTAATGATAAGCCACAGACGACGATCGAATAGTATCCCATGATGCACCTCGTTTCATGTTATATTATCACTGCGTACGTGACATATCGTGATCACTACTCTTCAGCACGCGTGTAATGAACATTGCAGTGCTCGATGTGTATGGTTTCCAAACATGTTTCGGTTCAGCAGCTTCTGAATTTGAGATTATTGATTTAGCTGATATTCATTGTGCTTTAAAGAAGAATTTCAGCGTTACTTTAAAGGGTTACATGTGTTTCACTTATCTGTCGAGAACAGGGCGGATAAAGGTTGGGCGGTGAAACGAGCGCGTCCGAGCAAAAAGGTGTGATGCAATGGACTGGGACTATGTTTAGAAATGTCAGGGGCGTAGCTAGGGGGGGTCCTGGGGTGCCCGTGACCCCCCC